GGGGGGGGGAAGAGGGAGAGAGAGAGACTGAAATTGCTCACCTTCTCCACCTCATCATCAAAATGGTCCTCTCCCTGCGTATCTTTCTTAGCACGCTCCATTAATGTGGCACGCTTTGCAGCAAGGTAAAATGACCTCTTGATGCGCACATAAAATACCTCTGTGATGGCACGCACAGTGTAGTCAGGACTGAACGTGTATCGTAACACTGTATCCAGATTTACAGACTGCAGGCTTCCCATGTTCTGAGGTGTGGGTGAGGTTGGTGAGTCCACTGTAACATTTGATCAGCTATATCAAAAATCCCAAGACAACACAAAAACTTACCTCCTGTATTCCCAGTCATGAATTCTTTTGGTACATTTTATGACACTTAACCAACAACATACGTTATACTGTAGTAAATGATAAATAGGAATGACAAACTTGAAAAAAATGTCAAGATTCAAATCTGGAACCTCCCCAGTACAAGGCAGGAGTGATAAAAGACTTGTGAGGTGATCAATTTCAACTAGTTTTGGTACAAATAATTCACTGCATTCATTATACAAGACATGTCAACTATATGATGTGACGATTAGTTTAAAAGTTTTTGAAGAAGGTGTGTCATTAAACATTAAACTGGTACATATTCTTGGGACATTTTCCTTCATAGGAAACACACATTTTTGGAGCTGGCTCTGCTTCTGTCATCAGGTAAAATATACGATACAATCTGTTCGGTCCACTGGGGCTTGAGATTACTTTTAACCAAAGGAACCACAATATAAGGCAGTAGAACCAGATTCCAAAATGCTGTGCATTTTTTAAACTAACAGACAAAGAAAAATGTTCAAGATATGCATTAGAGAATGCATGGTTCTCGTCTTCATTTTGAGTTCTGCATGCTTATTAGATGTTCCATGCAACAAATATTAATAATCTGCTTTACAGGAATTTTGCTATAATAAATAATTAAACTACATTAGTTGATAACTTATTGTGACTACAGCAGAGCCAACACACACAGCTTATTTCAACTTGTCACAGCCAGCCCATAAGTTGTTGCCGGTTCATTTTAAAAATAAGCTCCAAGTGACTACTGGACAAATTTGAAAGGGTAGACAAAAATGTCAAGAATTTTGGTTGGGAAACATCTTGGAATTCATTTACTACATGCACAGAATTGAAGTGGCTCAGGATTATCTCCAATGGGTGGGTTCTGGTACTGGCAGAGTAAAACTTTTAAACAAACCAGATAGCCAGTTAGGAGTAAAATAGAATCACCATAACACCGGACACCCAACTCACCCATAGTGATGTTCTGGATGAGGGCCTGTGTTCCAAAATATGTGAAGGGCCCACTTTCAAAGATCATGTTCTCCTTACCCACCATCACCTCCACACGTCCCTCCAGGATCAGGACAAAATAGTCTACTGGTTTACCCTGCAACACATTCCTTGAGCATAAAGCACAGCATTAAAATTAGCTGTAATCATGGAAATATCACTGATGACGGAGGCAGTATGAAACGTTAGTAAAAATCGACCAGACTACACAGCGCAACAACCCAGAAGACAGAAATCTTCATGAAAATATCAGTCTGCACCTGAACAATGCAGAACATCTTCATATTTCAGTATTTCAAAGTGTCTGCATTATGTACAGAACACTTTACATGAAGCTGAAGTCAAACTCACTGTTTCCATAGCCATTCAGCCGGTAAAAAATTTCCCATCCTTTATGGAACATGAATGTTCATTACAGTGCTCTAAAGGGCTGATCAGATTTAGTCCACAACTTTTTACACTCTGTTTCACAGAGATCTATTATAACAATAATATGTTGATGATATATTGACAGATGGTAAATACACACAAAATCCAGCACTGCACTCCTCTCTACTCTGAAATAATTGTCATCTTTCAGGCCACTGCCATTCTGCAACCATGTCATTTACATAATTCTGAGTATTCTTCATCAGACCACACTTTGTGCTACTCTAACTTGTAAAGACCCAGATATTATAGCCAAAATATTATATATATTATCAACACCTTCCCAAGCCCTATTAATGTCTACCTCATCACACAAGTTTTTCCAAAGCTGCGAACTTGTATAGGATATTGCTCAAATGAAATTAATTTCTATTAAAATGTTATCTTCTCAAATGCTCAGAGTCCTTTCTCATACTTACGTCAATCCTGAGCAAGGAAAAGCAACTACATATAATAAAAGTTTTATTACAGGATCTACTGTTGACCAGTAATGAGCATCCATATGTGGTCCCATACAGTAAATATTGTGACCCCCATCACAAAAAAAAATTCTTACACATGCCAAAAGATATGTGACAAAATTAGAAATAAAGATAATTTTCCTATATGCTTCTTGGTCTTTCTATCCTGTTGGTGCATACAGCAAGAGAGGACTAGTACTTCTTTACCCAAGTAAGTCGCACATCAATCCCACCATTTTCAAAGTAACAGCAAGTCTGATAAGTACCCAGATAATATGGATGGAACAGGTTCTAGAAGTTGTAATAACAAGTGGCACAGAGGTAAGCTGGCTAACAGGAACATTTTGTGACACAAGAAAAACAAAGTTCACGTCCAGTTTAATTTTGTGTCCACTGAACAAACCACAAAATAATGCCTCAGTGAGCTTTCCTTATAGAGATTAATTTCTTAGGGAGTAAAGAACTGAAAGTTTTTGTTTCCTTGATCTTCACATAGAAAGTAAATAAATGTTATTCACATGCTCTGAGTTCATGTTAGATGCCCGCTGTGACGCACGTTGTACGTAAATGTTATTGCTGTGAGGATCTCCTTGTAGAGTATACCACAACATCACAACATTCATAACCCTCAACAGGAAACTATGACATATAAACTATCATCAGAAGACTCAGACACTAGTTCAGCTATAAGACAGGGATAAAAGTTAAAAGTTTCACTGTACCTGTGAGTAGATGATGGCCTGTGGGTCATTACGGGCCTTTTCCCGGTTCTTCACTTTGATGTGGTAGATCACGTCCTGCTTCAGCAATCTCCGCAGGATAGTTTCTGATATTATGTCTGGCTTGAAGGCATCAACCGCTACAAAATAACCATGTAGAATCATGAAAAACGTACTCTCTGGTAACACAAATCTGATGTTTAATACCAAAGCTCATTATTGATCCCTATCCTGAGGCAGGTAAATCCTGTTCACATCTTCATAATCTATTTACCTAAGTCTTATTTTAGTAAAACCTGATGATCTATGTCTAGGTCTCTCAAGTTACCACCTTCCCAAAACAAATTCTGTATATATCTCTCCATATTTGAGCTGCATGGTCATAAATATGTAACTTTTATTTTGGGTAAGAGCCATGTTGAATACTTGGTGTTAACCAATGTTTCAGCAAACACTGCAGTTACAATTTTCAAGGTGGATGTAAGGTTAGGTCAGTTCAGAAACATTATATAGGGCAGTCAGTAGATAGCAAGATAAATTTGATGGTGGGGCAGAGGTGTGGACTGCTATCCAGTGGGAAAGGAGTATGTGGTTGAGACAAGGAGGTTCTGGTGACCATGTTCGATGCGAAAGGATTAGTAACAGTTGAGCTGTTCCATCAACCACAAGATTTGGGTGCGTGTGCCTTCTTCACAATGCCTGCCATCTCATATCTGATCTCTTCTGCACTGCAGGATGGAAGATGGACAGTGTCATCTTCAACTCTGCAGACGATGTCTTCTGTGAGTAGATGTTTTGGCGTGACAGCAAAGTTGAGGCCCATCATTAGATCGGTGATGGTAGTGGTATCAAATGATCGGCTGTATATGTCAACCACAGTGCAGCATTCATAAATTTTAAATATACGTGGGTAAGTTGTCTTCACAAGATGATCGTATTTCTTTGTTTGCTTGGAGGTGCTGAAAATGGTAGCCCCAGTGACTTGCTGGGCTGTGATATGGTCAACTTCACATACATAAAGATCACAAAGTTTCTCATGATATATCTCCCATTTCATACCTCTCTCTCATGTCTGATTAATTTCCTTGGCAGGTTATCTTAAAGAAACACACCCACTGTAAAATACAGTAACAACTGTTTAGAAACCATTCCTTCAACCTGATCTGGCACAGTTTCACAGGCACATTGGAGCAGGAAAGTTCAAGTGGTAGCTTGTAAAAGATGGACGAAAATATGCAGGACTTTTGAAAGCTGTGAATATTAGACATAACATGGTAAAATTAAGATTTCTGTCTTCTGGGTTGTTGTGCTGTGTAGTATGGTCGATGTTAACCAACGTTTCAGAGGTCATACTGCCTCCATCATCAGGGCGATGAGTATGAAGATTTCTGTCTTCTGGGTTGTTGCTCTGTGTAGTCTGGTCGATGTTAACCAACGTTTCAGAGGTCATACTGCCTCCGTTATCAGGGCGATGAATAGCACATTCAAAGACGGAGGCACTATGACCTCTTGGCAAACATCGACCAGACTACACAGCTCAACAACCCAGAAGACAGAAATCTTCATACTCGCCACTCTGAAAAACTCAAATCTTACTTGGTAAAATTAAACAGCCTACAATGAGTGGATAACACTGAAGTTTTGTTACAGTGACATAAGGTCAATGTGTATGCCACTTGTAGCTCTGTGAATGTATAGATGAAAACACAGTTCATGCCAGATGTTCATAATGTATATCCAAGCCTAAACCTTCGCTGCATCTGTTCACTTTTGCCGAAATGTGGAAAACTGCTTCATGACTAAACATAATTTTCTTGTCAGCTTCTTGGTTTCCAAGTATTGGTGACACAAAAATGTACCTTTTCTGCCTATCTGGAATGATATGTTGCATTAATGGCATCTTACAAGGTCTAAGGTGCAATGTCTTGTAAAGCACATCATACAATGTGGATTTAAGGACCTGAAGCTACAAACTTGCATGTCATGATAATTATTTAGGACTCCACAGAAATCAATGGTGTGTACACTAAGCATACTCTTCTGATGTGCTGTGTCATCCCAACTTCTTCTATCAACCACTAACAATCTTCATGAAGTTGTTTTACAATCATCTGATGGCTTTATCATCAGGTGTATTTGCCTTGTATACATACCTGAACTCCTGCTGCACTGGAACTATTTCTTCAGACTTGGCAGAGCAAAAAACACACAGAGCATTCGGCTGAAATGTCAGCATATCACCTCAAACACAATGCTCAAACAGCTCACAGCATGACTCAGACCAGAGCTTGGATGAAGGAGTGATAGTGGGGGAAGGGGACTAAACACAGTTTTGAGAGAAGACAAAAACATGCAACACATTTTACAATAAGCAGACATGCCTGAAGCATGATGTTCGATAACACAATTGCACACGTGTAACAGGTATTACCAATATATTGTGATTTGACACAAAAGTAACAAATGAAAGGTACATGGGAACTGTGAGAGGTAATCATCACGGAATATTTGAAGATACTATCTGAGTGCAGGTACAACTTGTTATATGTAAATTGAAGAAAATGTAATTTTATATTAATGCACTCAACTAATTTAAACTGATTTTGACGTTTTCACGATGGTGAGACTGAAGATTGCCATCTTCAGGAGCAGAGTACTGTGCGGAGAAGTGCAGATGAGGTCACATTATAAATTTTCTCAATAATTCAAAACCATTGTTGGGCAAGGGAGTACTCACTAAAACAAATCTTCAATTTTAATGAGATGAGGGTGTTTTGGAAGTTATGCTCGATTTGTGCGATTTCACCGTCTGAAATCTTTTTGGGGACACAACTATCGCATAAATTGAGGAATAACTGTATTTGGTTTGAGGAACTGAGAAAAACAGCTGAATCCAGCTTGACTTGATGTTACTCACTGGTGCTCAGGTACTGGAAAGTAGCCAGTGTCAGCTGCGGAGAAATATGGATACTTTGGTTTTCCCGTCGTTCTGCAAACACTGTGAAGTCTTGCTTGGTCACCTTGTTATTTCTGCGGCGCTTTGATCTGTTGTCAGCTGTAACCAAACAAACTGGCCATCATTTTGATTACTGCTAATAATCAAATATAGGTGGTCACTGGATTAAAACTGTTCAATTTTTGGTAATCAGCATTTGATGTTTACACAATTCTGTAACAGATCCATACAAAGAGTAGGAACTTGCATTTGTGGCACATCTTCCAACAAGATGACAACTGATGAATTACTCAGCAAGCATAAGTCATTCTGGTTACCATGATTTGTTATTTGTGTTTCTTTTCCCCACAGAACTGTAATACCGAATACCGTGGTCGAGCGGACACCACTCCTGCTTTGTATTCAGGAGGTCCGAGTTTCAAGTCTTGATCCGGAGACCAGCTTAGAACTGATTTAAACATGACCGATAGAAAAAAACATTTACTGTGAAACAGCTCATCTGTAATAATCAACATTGGTTAACTGCAGCAGTGGCACTGAGAGACATTACAGAATGAGGAGAATGTTCCCTAATATGTAATACTCATTTAGAAGGGATAATAATTTATACATAAATCTTTTGTAAAAAAAAATGTGGTTTCTTGGTTTCAGGAAAATAACTACAATTTATAACATTGCACTTATTCAAGAACAAAATTTTATATACACCAATGTGCTGTAAGAGTAGGGACTGCCGATAAATACATTCCTCGTGTTGAAACAGACTCAATATACCATACGAAATCATGGCTTGTACAATATGTTGATATGGACAATAATAAAAATATATTCCTATGTGACAGAATTATATACCAGTCCATAAAACCACATTAAATTTGCAGTGACAGAAACTGACACATTTCATATTAAACAATTTTTATAATTTACTGTACAATCCGGGTTTATAATTTTTATCCTTTTATGAGATTGGTTTCTTATTTATGCATGAATTTTAAGGTACAAAAATTAAATTTCCTCTTACACGCAAGTATCAAGATAAACTCTTATAATTCAAATCATAAAATATTATAAAACAGAATCCTGTAATGCTAAGAGCTCTCAGGTCCTGTGCTTTTCCTGTGGGGAAGAGAAATACAGCAGAGAGAGAATTTCACATCTACCTACAATTCAGAAATTACTGGAACAAATAGAAGCAGAGGAATGTTACAGTTAGCCACACTCACTCCACACATCCGTCTCATCAACAATTTCCGACTGGATCAACTCCTCAATCACATCCTCAAGTGTGATGAGCCCAATGGTTTCATAGAAAGGATCTCCCTCCCCCTCCGAGTTGACGCGATGAACGAAGGCCATGTGTCCCTTTATGCCTGCAACAAACAAGATGTAACACTCAGATACATTGGTCACGGCTAACATTCTTTAAAAACAAGCTTTTCCAGCTACACTTACTACATATAAAATCTACTGTTAAAGCAGTTAAGTAACAGTACAGATATTACATCGAAAAGTAAAGGTATAGCTCCTACTCGTTCTCAGCCTCAGCAGTAGAAGGGGGGTGAGTGGTCAACAGCACGCCCCAGCCACACTTTATCCCTGGCAATGGACCCTGGCACCCATTGGACAGACAGCTGGGTGGGGCCCAGAGGATGAAGAGGTTAGAGGAAAATTCCCTGCCTTTGCCACGGATCAAACCACAATTGCTCCGCCTGCAGCCAGTCACTATACCGACTGAGCTACCTGGCTCATGATATTACATGTAGATATAAAAATATTACTCCTTTTCTTTCAAAAAATAATTTATAAAAATAAAAGAATTACAGACCCTAATAACTCCTATATTTCATACAGTGCATCAAACTGTAATGTACACAATTTTTGAGAAACGATTTATAAATTTAATAAGAGCTTGAATAAATCAGGAGTTTTGCTGAATTACAGTTAATTAATTTTCTTATGAAGCTTGACTTTCACTGGGACATATAACAGCCAATCACAAGTGTGGGGTGGGGACATCCTTCAGCCAAAGTCAGTTGCAGCTTGGCAGCAGCACAAGTCTGTTGTACGATCAACAGTTCAGTGTTGTCACATTTCACCATTTAGCCACTGTCAGTGTGGACAGAACCACCTCACTTGGCAACACTTGTGAGTTCAGCTTTGTACTGTGTGACCTAACCGAAATTGGCCGAAAAGGTGGTTTCATCCAAGCTTCATGAGGGGGAGGGGGGGGGGAATCTGGTATAACAGACTGAAATTAAAATTCCCCAAAACATTTTAGTAGCCATTCGGTACTTAATTTCATCAGAAACTGAAGAATAGTTCTGGAGATAAAACCTCATTATGTATACAGCTACTCACCTTCCTTGAACTGTTTGAACATAACATCCAATGTTGTGTCCTCAAACACAAAGTTACATGGATTCTGGTAGAATTTGCAGAGTGTCTGTAATGGGGTGTTGTCATCTGGGTCCACAAAGGCCAGATCCTTGATATACAGCACTGTCACTATGTTGGAGCATGCCCCCTCATACACTGGGATGCGGGAGTAGCCTGCGATAGGCGTCCAAAACAGTCAGATTACAGAATTATTGTAGGAAACATTTATGACCTATGAAAGTAAGAGAAGAGCCTGTTTCTGCTAATAAATATTAAAAGTGCAACAAGGAAACAAATAATTTAAATAAGATAGTCAATAAACACACATATAAAACTCAGTACCACATGATGTCATTTGTTGAGACCAAACTTAGCAACATGGATTCAGAGTGATCTGCACACAAGCCAAGACACCTAACGGCATTGCAAACAAAACGTCCACCTATCACTCGATATAAAACACCGGATAACAAATGACGACAAACAAAAATTATGGTGTTCAGATTGTTTGGTTCCCCGAGTTCTATGGCCTGAACATTGGTGAGCTTGGAATTCTTTTTTTAAAAAAATGACAAACTAAAATAATTATTCTCAAAAATATTAGGTGCCAAGACAAAATTTCTACGTGTCAATGCCACCTGGGCACAGAATTTGTCAAGCCCCGAGCTAAAATGTCCTCTCTTCCAAACAAGACAATTTTTATCTATCTGAGAAAAACACTCTTTGCTACTTTCTTGATTTTGGACTTCACTGTTACCTGTTTCAAGTTTTTAAAAAGTTAAAAAAAACAGCATTTCAAAGGATGGATCTTCTTTCTCGTCACATAAAGTAAAATACTTCTACTCTGCTTCATCCAGCGGACATCTTACGTTTTACCTGAAGATGAAGGAAGACATTCTTCAAAATGCTGTAATTTTTAAGACTTTTTAAAAACTTTAAACAGACAAATAAAGCCCAAAATGAAAGTAGTAATACGAGAGGTGCGATCGGAAAGTTTCAAGACTGTGTCAATAGAGGGCGAACCGGATGTAGTACGAGCTTCTGCCTTTAGGGGGTGCGGCCTACATTCATAGTGAATCAGTGTGCCAGCCGGCATCATCGAATTAGCATTTGTTTCTTAGTTACGGGCGTTTTGGTAGTGCATTACACCGACCCTCCTGCGATTTTAATGAACAAAGAGTGTGCATCAAATTTTGCCAAAGACTCGCCAAAACCGCTACGGAAACCTATGAAATGCTAAAGCAAGCATTTGGGGAGTCCGCAAACTTTTGTGTGGCATTCACGTTTTAAAAATGGCCGAACCCCTGTCGATGATGACGAGCGTTCTGGACGACCATCTTCGAGCACAACGCCCGAAAAAGTTACGAAGAT